GCTGGTGTCAACTACACCACCCGAACAGGGGTAGAGTTACCTTCCCTATAACCCGCTTATTCAGCCGAAGAAACCGGCGCATAAAAGATTGTGCATACCTGGTATACATTAAAAAGAACCCGGGGTTATTTGGAATATTATTTGCCATCATGAGCATCACATTGAACTAGTGTGGACTGCTCAGCTTCGAAAAGAAAAGGGTGGTGCACACGATCTCACCTCTAGGGTCGCTACTGTAATGACATTTCTCCAGGATGGAATCACTCGATCCATGTCGCGATAGCGGTCCACCTCTGCCAAGGCACCGTTCAGAATATCATTGTTCACTTGAACTCGCGGATCTTCGGGCATTTGTGGAATATGGTCCCCTTGTAGCTCCACTTTTTCGGGAGGTGTAGTTGACACCAGCGCGCAACCGAGAGCGCCGATGATGTGAGCCACATAGTAGGCGTCCGAGAACTGCACAAACAACGCTGTCAATGCTAGCTCCGTTCCGAAAGGAGATAATACGCACGTTGTTGGTAGAGTTATCATTATATTTGAGTTGATCAATTAGGAACCGTCGCACAATCGGTAGCGTCTCGCCATTTTCGAGCCTGACCTGGGATAGGGCAGTGATCAGGGCCTGCGAAGAAGAGTGAAGTAGATTTGATGATCAAAACTTTGCGAAAGGACAAGGAGATTGGTCGCAGCGGCATACTCCGCAAGCACATTATGCAAATTATGTTGTGAGTGACGCTATTCTATATGTTGATATTGTGGGTGCTGATCCGTCGGCAGAAACCCGGGCTTGGACCATGAAGTGCGGTGGTCGTTACTCAAGCTAGCGGATCTGGCATTCAGGGCGATAGACGAACCGGTTCCCAAGTTGACGATACATTTACCCGCTCAGCCGACTCCTGTTGAACCCCAGCCGAGCAAGAAACTCAAACTGAGTCTCAGTCTCGGTGGGATTAATTCGAGTAAGTCCCCTAGACGTGCCCATCCCGTAGATTGTTTTCTTACCACTACTCTAGGTGCGCCCTCTCCCCGAGTTGGCAATGAAGTTGCTTCTGTGCATGATGTCAAGCCGCCTGAGAGCGCGACTCTCCCATCGGCCAAGCTAATTCTCAAACCTCCCAAGTTGCCTTTCGTGGCCACTCCAGCTCCACCACCACCCAAATCCAAGCCGGTCGCAAGTTGGGCTAAGAGTGGCCTTTCCTCACAGGAGAAGAAGATGATTGAAGCCATCCTGAAACGAATGATCGGTCATCCATCCGCAGTGTGGTTCTTGCATCCAGTAGATCCTATTAGACATGGAGCACCAACGTATGTATACTCTCCTGTTTCTCAACCTGGTCTCACGTTGATCCAGTTACTTTGATGTCGTAAAACATCCCATGGATCTTTCAACAATATCCTCAAAGTTGAAGAGCGGACAATATGCTTCTAGAAACGATTTCGCTGATGACTTCAAGTTGATGTTGTCCAATGCTTATCTATTCAACCCAGTGGGCACAGACCCCCACAATGACGCCTTAAAGCTCGACGATGCCTTCCAGAAATGTACGTCATGCGATATTTATTCGGAGTCTTTTCTGACGACCATATAGTATGGAAACAGACGGACGATGTCGTAGAAAAGGACAAGGCGAAAGTCAAACCGCCACCACCACCTCCTGTTGTCATGCCCACAGCCCCGACACCTGATGTGGATGTGGATGATGAGTTGATGGAGGCAGCCAATGTCCCTCCTGAGCAGGAAGGCGGGGACGAGGATGCGCCATTTGACGACGATGTGGACGAATTACTCCTGGGTTCGACATCACAATCTGCACCTCCACCTCAGAAAATCAAGATTAAACCTGTTCGGAGACCGGCACCCGACTTGGACGATTTGGATGCTGAACTATACGATGCGGCCGACGCGTCGGGTCCCTCCCAAACTACCAAGAAGGAGCCATTCTCCCGAGGTATCACATCAAAATAATGTGGAATACCCAATGCAACGGGATCGACAGGGAAGTGGAAGATACCATGTCTACAGAGATCCATGTCAATATACAACTCACATCTTAATCGACCGTATACTTACATATCTTCCACTTTGATCTGATTGACTGCTTGCGCAAGCTGTCGCTTGACTTCTGTAGGCATCTTGCGTCTCAACATGCTTGGCCATTCCT